GGTATAGAAATTACTTGGATAAATAAAACTTAAAAACAAATTTAAAGAAAATGTTGAAAGAAGTCATTCACAGAATACACACAGCATATGTAATGTTCAAAAACTGGCAAAATTTAACACCATATTGTTTAGGGACACACACACAATAAAAAGCAAGGAAATGATTAATCTCAAATTCAAGATCGTGGTTAACTCTGGAGGGAGTATGTGTAATTGGGGAGGTACACCCAGGGGTCTCCTAAGATATTGGTAATATTCTATTTCTTAACCCAGGTAGTGGGTATGTGGTGTTTTACATATATGTATCTTTTTGTATTCAGATACTTCACAAAAAAATAGACACTAAAAAAATATACAGCATATGAAATATGTAACACACAAAATGGTTATATACCTTGATATACACACAGTGAAATACATTTAATGAAATTATACACACACACACACACACACACACAATCAAGAAACAAAGACAGTGGTGCTGGAACCCCCTCAATGAAAAATCCTGGCCTCCTAAGGATGTTGGGTTCTGATCTACAGAATGCTTTCCCGATCTGTGTCCCATGATGAATGCTAAGAAGGGAAAGCCAGCTGAATAACCCTGAAGTGATTACCTGTTTGACCTATCGGGAGAGTACTTGGATTAAATTTCTTAGCTGGTTAGCTCTCAGACAAGGCATCACAAAGCTGAGAAAGCTCTAACAGTTTCAAGTTGTACTAACATCTTACCGAAGCTGGTCTACAAACCCAGGCCTGTAAGCAGTAGTCCTCTTAAAGCAGTGGTTTCAAGCCTTGGGGACTGCAGCTGGTGGGGGACATCGGGGATTGCAGCTGGTGGGGGACACCGAGCCCCCAGCCTCTGCTTTTACAGGCATTGATTTTATTTTTATGGATGCCTTTGATATGATTTTGTTTGAAGGGTTCCACCTGTCAAGAGAGTATGAACAGCACTGTCTTAGAGGAATCCTAGCTTTCTGGAGTTGGGAAAAGAATGCAAATCACCTTTCTCAACTCTGTATAAATGTAAAAGCAGAGGTGACCAAAATGTGCACCCAATAAGCAATTTGCACTGCAGCAAATCTTAAAAGATAGTTGGCTTTGTTTCCTCTTTTGTCCTTATTCCACTGTCTTGAGAAATACCCCATGGCTCTAGAAGAACAATAGAAACAGGAGGCAGACTTGAAATCAATCTGAGCCAAGCTGGTGAACAAAATCCAGGCAATCCCCGATCCACGGATCCATGCAACTGATCAATGTTGCATGGCCTCCCGACTAAGAGTTTGAGGCAACTCCAGCTACCCCTTAATCATTACGGACCCTATTAGCACTAAACATGAGAAGGAAGATATTGGTGTTTGTGGGTGGGTCACAAAACTTAGAAAGATGTGATTTCATTTTGGTAACTAACAGGTATAGAATTGGACTCCTCTAAAGGCTCTTTGAGTTGGTGGATGGAGCAAATCTCCAGCAGATAGCAAATGAACTTCTGCCAAGCTCAGCAGAAACATCTTTACCCCACCCGCTCTCCTGCCACACCTACCTAACTTGCTAGGGTTTTGCTGGAAAGGTCAAGCAGCCAGTCTGTCCCAGAGCATAATGACTGGTTACTGTTCTCTCATACACTAGCCCTGCCTGAACAACTGGTGTGTGGGCTGGTCCTCTCTGGGAGACATGGTATTTGATACTGTGCTAATTGGGTGGCTAGAAGAAAAAAAGGAATACTTTAAAATGGCTCCTTAGAATTTTTTCTACAGTTGCACCAAATATACATCTTGGCTGAATGATTTATTAAAATTCTGTATTTGGATGCCGCTCAGTATCACTATTAGAGAACTGGTTGTTTAGGACACAAAAATGAACGTGAAATCCAGAAAAAAACATTTTATTTGAACCGTCAGCATTTTCTCAAGTTTGACATTAGGTAGGAATCAAACTTTCTTAGCACCATCAGTTGCTTTATTGCTCCTGTGGTATCCACATGGTAAGTAGATGCTCACTTTTACCTGAGGTTGGAAGACCAAGTTGTCTTGGGGCTGGCCCTACCACCAAACTGAATGTCATGTCCTAATAATTGTAAGGTTAACAGCTTCTGTCTGTTCCTAGACTTAAAAAAATCTGGTTGATGACAATGATTTAAGTGTACACAATCCCTCCATCTCAAGCTTTGTGCACTGCAAGATGCTGAGTATCTTCAGAAGCACTTACGATTTTTGCCATATTGATCTATTTCCAATTGTTTGCATGCCTCATACTTCAAAACTCTTAAAAACTTGTTAGCTTAGTTATTCCTAAACTTATCTAGATAACATCTATTTTCCCATTTATTGCTTTAACTTTTTGATTAGTGTTCAAAGTTAACTGCTTTCATCCTATAACATACACTTCGACAAAAAATGACATAATCTGCACAAAAGGCTTACCTGTATTTGAAATTTTTGATATATGCAATAAATCCAAATGCCATGCCTGTTCGAGGTACTGCAGCTATTGTGCTGATCAGATAAACAGTAGTCCTCTCTGTGACCACCCAATTGTTAATCATGTACTGATTCGGGGATGCCAGGAATTCTAAGTATTCATTCCATTGGTCTTGGGATGAGGTTGAAAGCACTGATAGCAGGTCTTCGTTTTTACTCTTCATCTGAAGCTCACATATATAATCCAGCATGGATGAATGAAAATTGATTTTTGCCTATGTCTGGACAAGTTTTCCCAAGTAAGTTCCCCTTCTTTTTTTTTCCATTGAAGTATATCTTAGAAACATTCTTTGGTGTCTTATAGCTGCTTACCGAATGCTCATTACGTGTAAGCCAAGTATTAGGCACTTTTTGTGGGTTTTCAATCTTCACAATCCCTCAGTATTCTGGTTTTCTATCTTACACATCAAGAAAGCAAAGCCTGGGGTTGGGGTGTCCTATTCTTCTGCTCTAGGCTGATGTGTACATCTGATTTACAGAGCTGAAAGAAGCGAATCATGATCTCTGCAGATTCCAGCTGGCTGGTTTGCAAGGCTGAATGAACTTTGGGTCTTTTCATAGGAGGTGGGGAAATGGGCGTAAAGAACTTCAAACCTTTTAACCCACTTTTTGGAAAGAGCTCTTGCCCATTCTGCCTCAGTTTGCCAGCTATTATTTTATCTTCACTTCCCAGCAGTTTCCTTACAACCTCCCATCATGGTCCCACAGAGGAAAACGCGGGTGATATCTCTTCCCTTCCCTCAGTCTGAATTCTGTGCTTTCTTCATGACTCAACACTCAATTGTTTGTTCCTCATTCCCATGTCCCATATTCCATTTATGTATCCGTGACTTGTAAAGTATGCCATGTCAGCATCTGTGCTGCTCACTGCAGCTAGACACGAGCAGGCCTAGTTATGTAGGTACAAACCAGTGATTTCAAACGATGGGTTTCAACTATATTAGACAGACTACTTAGCTACATAAGGATAGCTATCACCCTTCTGAATGGTGTTGTACTAGTAGTCATCTTGAGAGCAAGAATACTTAAAACTAGAATTTAAAATATTACACTAATAATCGCAACAACTTCATGTTTCCTGGTTGTTTCTTTTGTATTTGCTGAAAATACAGGTGTTTAATGTGCAGTCAGTGCTCACAATTGCTTGGCTGTCCACGGCTTAGTATCAGGTGATTATAGGCCTGTATGTAACAGGCAGGTGCTATTTAGAACCCGGCCAGCTGAGTTTTCAACCACATGAAACAACTGAGATTAATTATAAAGCAACAAATAGTGAATAATACTATTATGAGTCAAAAATTACTCTGAGCATATCCATCATTTCATTCAAGATTCACAATGAGGCAGGTACGCTCCCTGTTTTATGAGAGACCCTGTGGCTCGGCATTTTAAAATGTCACTCACTCAAATCACACAGGTAAGAAAAGGAGCCAGGACCTGGATGGAATGTAACCAATGGTTTACAAAGGCAGATGTGATTCAGATGCACACGAAGAGAAGTAACAAATGAGAAAGTAAGGTTAGGGCAGACTGGGATTTATAAGGCAAGGCAAGTTCTATTGTCATATACTAGTTTCAAATTATGAGCCTCTCCTAAGATCTCATGTCCTAAAACAAAGACTGATTTTGTTTCCTACTTACCTGGAGCTATGTGTTCTTTCTGAAAGAATTTAAGCAAGCCACCACACTCCATGCTCTATCACCTGAATAGAGTAGCCCAATTTTATAACTACAGAATTTTGAAATCCTAGAAGTGACACAACTGATAACGTCCAGGGCACAGATTAGTAACACATGAAATTTGCCTTTGACATAATCAATTACTGCTCATCTTTCTTCCTATAAAGAAGGAGACGGGAGAATATGACAAGAAATTAAACAATCCAAGTTTGCATCTGTCACAGAACATGGAATGAGAAGGCACAAGAGGTCAGGAGGTCCAACCTCCCTCCCTGACAGAGGAGCATGCTTAAGGGGGAAGATGTGGCCAATGTCTCAGGACCAGAGACCATTAGTGTGGACAGGAGACTGGACCCCAGCAGCCCTATACTTTTCCCTCCACACGCCACCACTGGCACTCTGAGGGAAGCCAGTTTTTGAGAGAAGAAAGTGCTTTGCAAATGACATGCTCTTCACTCACTTTTAATGTACTTTGAGAAATGAATATCCATCTGACACACTTGTGACACATGTAATATGACACAACACTGTGTTCCATACGAATCAGGGAATCGAGGAGAGAGCAAAGAACTATGCACGCAAACACTGGTGGTTGAGTCCTAAAACGAAAGCAGTTGTTCAGCTGAACCCAGACCAGCAGAAAACTACGGATGCAGGTGACACCGCAGCTCACCAAGCCCCCCACCTCGCGAACGGCAGGGAGGAGGACAGCCCCACCGGTACCACCCTACTTCAGAAACGTGCTTACAGCCCGGTCAGAACTCCGCAAACATGAGCATCCATATTATAATCCATCTTTGGAAAACAGACTATTTGAAGGAAAACAAACCCAAATTGAAACTGTGGTTTCCAGAGCAATTTATTCATTAAAATCTATTCAATATGCCATCAACAGTTCTCCTGTGTGTATTGTGCTGATAAATAGACACTGAGAGGATTTAACAAGTTCGTCGTTTAATAAGTCTGAATTCATTTTCACCACATGGTATTGTACATGGTCATCTGTTGAAACAGATTTCTTTTTAACAGATCTTAGTTTAAAAAAGTCATAGATACTGTGAGTTCTGTATAAACTGGTGGATATTAAGTTAGTTCCTTTGTTTTGACTTATAAGCCTCAACTTCACCGCAGAATAAAGAATGTAGGCCAAAGAAAGCATAATCGGTCACTCGTATAGAACAGTATTGTTTCTATAATTTGAAGCTTTCTGAATGGACGGGTTCAGGCCTGATGTAACTGTAAAAAGATTACTTAATGAATAGACTATATGGAAATGGTACAAAATGTTATTAACTTTATAATCATTAATAGCTTAAACAGCACTATGTTACTAATTGCTATTCAAAACCAAAAACCTGTTTTTGAATCCCCAAGAAGGTGGCATGCGTACACAACCAGGCCACCTTGTACTTAGGGGTTTGTCAATACGTATTTCAACAGAAACTTTGGCTTTAGGAAAGAGTCACAAACATTTAAAATAATGGCTTTAATCGTCATTTTGAGTATACGGTAGGGAAAGTGTGCTTTAATTAAATATACATCATACCAGTGATGCTGGCAAGGTTGAGTTAATCCTAATGTTGATAGCTATAAAAACTAGTTTGTACATGACAAGACAATGAGAGAAAAAAAGCAATCCCTTTGAAACAAAATTTAAAAAAAAATATGTTCACAGTGGTTTGTATCAACAGTATGCATTTTATGACAATAACATGTACAGATTGAGCACCCTAGGGCTCTCTTTATATCCTAAAGAAAACGAGCATTTACATTATTCATGGATTGAACTGAATTTTAAAAAGATCAATTGTACACTTACCCCTTAGACAGGATAAACTGTTCTGGGGTGTACAGCTTTAACACCATCATTAAAGTTGTTTGCAAAAGGAATACAGAATTAAAAAAACAAACATTTTTTCTTGGGAGTGGAGAGTCTTTCATTTGCTGTTATAACCAGCAAATGCCATTCATTAACTCAAAAAATGGAAGGGGGGCCCCACAAACACACTATTTGAGCAAGCTGACCAATACACATTACAGTTTTAAAAATGAAGGTTATATACTCTATGTTACAAGTCCCAACTAGGCAGTGTCAAAATGACATCTATTTCTTTGCTTGCTTTGTGATCATACCCCTTGGAGGTGTTACAGGTCTCGTGGCATTCGGCTTCTTTTTCTCTGCAGGTTTTAAAATCTGCAAAGATTCAAAGGTAAGTGCATTTTAGGAAATATTCTCGACCCCAAATCTTAAGATTTCTTAAATCTCACTCAAATCTTTTGTTCAGAAAGGTCTCTGACCATTTAAAACTGACCCTACAACTCTTGAAAGCCCCACTAACGTATTAACGTACCATGTTAATATGTTAACATGTAAACATTTTGGTAATAAATGCAATGATGAACAGATGAAATACAGGGACAAATTATTTTGCCTCTGGATAAAATGACAATTTTCTGAAGTCAGTTCTTGTAGTATCTCTAGGCTATCCCCTCTGACATGGGGGTGGGGTGGAGAGTAGTCTAGAGCAGTGTTTCTCAACCCACAGGGGGCCCTCTCATAATCTCTGGGAGCTGCAAGTTCTCCCCGATAGTTGGTAAAACAACATTTACCTGATGACTGCCACTTGACTTCAGTGGCTTTACTTATGATTATGACTGGGCTACCCTGAAATTGTACAAGTTTAATTGTAGTAAGAGAGCGAGAAAAAGACTCAGACAGACTTTATGTGTAAATGATACTTTTGTGCCAAGTGAAGGCCAAATGATGTCATGGTGAATCAGTCTTGTGGAAATTAAAGAAAAGTGGTGGGAGAAGGGAGTAATCACACAGCACATCTGGCACATGGCAGTTAGTTCTATTCTCACATACAAGCGGGGATTTAATTTTAGCTGAACATTATACTGACATAAGTTTTAGATTTATAGTAAAGGAACTATAAGCATGAGGAGCCAATAAATTGGTTTTTTACCCCATTTAAATAATGTAAAAAGAGTTAAAAATTCAACACAGCAGGAAAGGTTCTCTGACAATTTTTTTCCCCTTAAAAGGGGTCCACTGATTACAGAATTAGGACAAACACTTGTATGGGAAAATAAAAATTTAGTCTACTCAACATAAATGAACAGTAGGCAGAAAATAGCAATTAAAAAAAAAATCAGTAAAATTTAGACATAATAGTAGGAAACAATGTTGAAAGCATCCTCTACCTGAAAAGAACACATTAGAGTTTCGTCCACACTCATCATGGCACCTGCATTGTCAAACTCTCCACAATAATTGGGTGCAGAAAACAGAGTGACCAACTGCCTCTTTGCAAAAAATTCATATCCATCTTCAACCACCTTGGAGAGAAAATGTTTTTAGAGTAAGTAGGTGTAAACTGCAGGTGAGTAAAACCACTTTTCAGTTTCCCATTGAGCCTGATATCCTACAGGTCACTTGCAGAGACATTTTGTATGAATAAGCAATACCTACCCACTAAAATCAACAAGGAGAATCTGTGCTCACACACATGCTCTTAAGTGTACATGTAAAATTCAAAATCAATACCTGGTGGGCTCTACATATAAGATCCAAATCATGCTTATGGAGAAATTTTGCAACCACTTCTGCACCAAATGTGAAGGACACTCCTCTGTCATTTTCACCCCAGCCTAAGACATCTTTATCGGGGTCAGACCACAAAAGATCACAAAGAAGACCTTGATCTGGTACATCAGTTGGTCGCATAATTCGCCGAATCTGCTCCATAGATTGAAGATCTGGTGATAAACCTATTAAATGAAAAAAATTGTTTTTTTGAAGAAAACAGAACTTCACTTTAACAGTTCCATTTGCTTACAGAGAGACTCAATGACTCTGACATGGAGGGCTTAAATCTATGGCTATGATTTTTTTTTTTTATGGTTATGTTTTCTTATTTAGCTTTGGTTTAAAATAAAAACTCAACTGAAAAAGCACTAGAATTTATTATATGCACCAATTTGTGAGGCACATATGTCTAAATGGTATATGGAATCAGTTACCTCAACATACAGAGCCCTATAAAATTAAAATCCAGTGATTTACAGACAACCACTCCTCAACTCCTTTGATGATAATAATGAACAATGTACATTCTAGATTTTATTATTGACCATTTGTAATGACTGGGTGTAGAAGGTGCAGATACTCAGGTATGATGTAGCTTTCCAGGAAACCTGTGCTGTCCAAGGACCATCAAATCTATCAGACCAGCTCCAATGTAGCTGGCTTTCATCTGAGTTTAAAATCACATGCCCAGGGGCACCTGGCTGGCTCAGTGGGTTGATCCCACTGCAATTCCTGATCTCCAGGTTGTGAGTTCAAGCCCCATGCTGGGGGTAGAGTTTACTTAAAAAAATAAAATTAAAAAATTTTTAAAAATCACATGCCCAGCTCTACCAAAAGCAGCTGAAGTATAGGAGGGCAGGGATAATAGCTTTATTAAAATACATTGTGTTGGCTCTCTGACAGTTGTCATTATAATTTCTGACCACGGGTGAAAAGAAATTCTTTTCACAATTACTATTTAATTATGTTATACAAAGCACAACCATGGAGAAAAATAAAATCGCTTTTGAAATCCAAGTCAGAAAAATTTCTAAAAGGAGAGGACCAAAAACAGACCAAGGAAAGTCTACTCACATTTTCAGTATTCTGGAGAATCTATGATACAGCATATTTATTAATCGCTCTTCACTTTATATTTAAAAACACTTTCTGCTCTATTTTCAAGTTAAACTGTTACAGAGCCTAGAATTCCCTGTAACAAATCAATTTCTTATACTTTAGATTTCTATCCAAATGATCCTGGATGCACCAGAGTGGACCCATGGTGTAACACATCAATAAAGGAGAGTCACCTGACAGAGAAGTCATCCCAATGACAACTCAAATGTCTAAGTGTACCCCCTTCAGAAGGGAGCAAAACCTATTTGCAACTAAAATTAGCCCACATACCTCCATGACAGCAGAATATCTTCTCATCCACGATGGCTGCTATCGGTAAACAGTTAAAGCAGTCTGTGAAAGTTTTCCATAGTTTAATGTTATATCTTCTTTTACCTGTGAAAATTTTAGGATGGTTAAAAAGACTGGTGTTCTGTAGGTTCAGTCTCTTAGGCAATTTCTCCCAAAGTAAGGTGCTAATTACTTTCTAAGTAAACAAGAACTATGCTTTTATTAAAAATTCCCTGGAAGATAGGTTTAGCAGATCTAGCTATACTTTAAAATCCCACAGAAGTTTGAAATCAGAAAATCCCAAATGTAATGATTAAGGATTATCATTAACTCCCAATAATTATTTGGTAGCACAAACTCTGTTTGGAACCTAGCATGTTTTGTCCAATCTCAACCAGAGGCAATTATGAACAGCTTACATATGTGCCATTACCATCTTCCTTCTGAGGAAGCTTCTGAGAGTTAACTCCCCATCCCATCTCCTACTATCATCAAGAGCTTACTGGTACCAGATAATTCCCAGCCCTACATACTCTAGTAGCAGGGACACCAGGATAACTGTTCCTAACACTGCCACAAATGATCAGAACGTTCCCCACAGAAACAATGTTATAGGGTGGTTATATTCCCCTCACCAGCCCCTGTATTCCCTGCATTCTGGAGTCACAGTGTGATTTGGACATAAGCATGACTTTAAGGTACTGTTCCTGCAAGCAAATTATGTTGAGTTAAAAACCTACTCATAAATTCTGGAAGCACAAATCTGTCTGAATTGGGTTGAGAATGGCCCAACTGTGGGGCACCTTGTCTCCTGTACCTCCATACCAGAAAACCCAAAGATCAAAGCACAATCTTCATTCCTAAAGCCAAGTGTGTCCTTCGTCTCCTCTCCTTTCTTATTCTAGGGACATCTACAGTTTAAAGCTGAACCTTTTTGGAAAGTTAGACTGGCGCAAGCAGCAGGTTCCTGAACCACACCTTCCACTCTACTGCAAATCAAGTCAGGTATGGAATTTAGCACAGGGTTTGGAATGTAATGCAAATTCAACAAATACTTGACTTCTCCCTTTGCAAAGGACTGTCGTCTTTCCTTCTAATAGTTTGTTTTTTCTATGACTGGGTGTAACTCTCACCATGGTTCACCCTGTTTTATATTTCTTTGGAGGTCACTAATTCCCTATTCCTTATCTTCCTTCACTGGAGGGTTCTGGAAGCCAAACAGAATTCTTCTCTACAAAAGGATGAAAGGGAACCTTTTACTTAAAAAGTGAAATAACAGAAGAACAAGGCTGGGCTGGTCCTAACCTTCCATCATAAAAGTGATTTGGTTCTGTCTCCTATTTTCCTCTGAAGCCTATCTCTGAATGACCATCCAATGGCTTGCTTGGATTTTTCCTTTGCCCACATGCATTTGCCAGTGCCAACGAATCCTCTTCCTTCTTGAAGTCTGCTTTGCTCCCTGATTCTTTATTCATGCAACACACTCCAGTTTGTCTTGCAGATTCCTTTGCTACCTTTGCTGGCACCTTCAACGAAAATTAGGATTCTTCCAGCTGTTGTCTCGGAGCATCTTAACTAAGTCCTAGGGCCCTGTTTTCTGTTCTCTCTACACTTCCTCCCTAAGGTCACTTCAGACAAGTAAGAACATCTGGCTCCAGAAAGATTTAGCCTGGATAACTGCCAAGGTCTCTTCCAGCTTCCAAATCCAGGGATTCTGAGCCAGAATCCCTAATGCAGTTTCCTATTACTACAGATCAGACAGCTCTGGTATCAGAAAAGGATAACACACATTCACATTTTATCTAACAACAGATTCCCCAGCTTTTCCAGGACTACACTCTTTATAAAAAAAGTTGGGGTGGGGGTCAGGGGGAGAAGGAGTGCTTGTTATACTTGTGAAATAAGCCTATCACCTAAAGCAGTGGTTTTAAATTGTTTCATGAAAACCTACAGTTTAATAAAGCTTCTCAACTGTAACTTAAAGTAAAATTTTAATAAAATTATCAACATTTTTTTTAAAGTCTGCAAACCATCAATCGAAAGCCACCTATGTCAAGGACACTTTTCTGCCCACAAGTAGATTGGATGGCAAGTTATACCTGCCTGATGATGAGGGGGTGAGGGGAGCTTGAGCACAAAGTTAATCAGTAAGTCTTGATGACCAAACAAGAAACTAACCAATGCTGACCATCTAAAATAATTTTTAAAGTCTTCTGCATTAAACAGAAACTGAAAACAACGTCGCTAATATTCTCACTTGGATATGTGTAACAAAGAGATTATGTGGATTTGAATTTCATCAATGAAAACATCAAAGTACTTGCTGAACAGCGTATAAAAGGAACCTTTTAACTTGTTCTAAAAAGTAGCACCTGTAACAAATATCCAAAACACAATTTATAAAACTTGCTGCCTCTTATCTCACTACCTTAGGAGTAATAACTGCTTTACTAGTACTTCTCTGATAGACTCATTGTCAAAATCAACTATCTTTCTTGGGGCATCTGGCTGTCTCAGTTGGTAGAACATCTGACTCTTGATCTTGGGGTGGTGAGTTCAAGCCCCATGTTGTGTGTGGAGATTACTTAAAAACAACCACCACCACCACCTTTCTGGCCACAGACTCAGTTGCCCTAGTCAGTTCAGAACCCATTAAGATTTTTCTTTGGTGATCCCTCCCCTCCTCATCTTACCAGCTGGGTCTCAGGGCCTCAGACCAGGCAAACATACAATTATGGGAGAGGGTGAGAGTAGGAGAGCTAAATCTAGAAATACAATCTTTCTAGCAGTGCACTTCTAACAAATGAGCTAGCTGAACACATCTATGTGGAACTGCGATGGAAAAACACCACATTACAGGTTACGACTATAGTCTGGTGGGGGAGGGCCAGAGTGACAATGCTTTACTGGTCTTGTTATCATCACTGGCCAATGCAGTAACTCAAATTCCTTACTTTAACCACTTCTCTCCTCCCTGCCTGAGGACTCTCCTAGCAGAAATGATAAGCACAAAAGGATGGGGGTAAGGACCCAACTCACCCCCCCTTAAACATTTTATACTTATTAACACTACAACAACAACAGCAATTCCACCAAAACTGGCAATTTTTAAGGCTTTAAGAATCTTGTTTTTTATCAATTTACCAACTCAAAGTGTACCTTCAACTATACAATCCAAAATGGGTCATAATATGTGACTAAAAAAGTCACAAATGACTTTTTTTTGTTTCTAATTTTGCTTTCTCCTTTCAGCACATTTTAGGATAATAACTGCCATTTGTCCTCGGTGTACATGTGTCAGAAGGAAAAAAAAAACACAAAAAAGAAATCATTTGTATATTTAAAGATACCATTTATGTGAAATAACTAGAAAAGGCAAATCTACAGAGAAAGAAAGATTAGTGCTTGCCTATAAATTTACTAAATTTACTAAAAATCACTGAACTGTATACTTAAAACAGACAGATTTTATGGAATGAAATTATATCTCAATAAAGTTATTAAAAACAAAACTATCTATTTGGACAGGTTCTCAGACCTGTACTAAGAATTAAGTTCAACGATGATCTTAAAGAAGCCACCACTGCGACCATTACTTCTTAATCTAATAGTCACATCATAAAAGAATCTAGGGAATTATTATACTGCAGTGGCAGTGTTATTTTTTTACCTTAAGAAAAAAATAAGAACAAGTTAATGAAATAGAAAATGATAGATTATGGGGTGCCTGGGTGGCTCAGTCGTTAAGCAGCTGCCTTCAGCTCAGGTCATGATCCCAGGGTCCTGGGATCGAGCCCCGCATCAGGCTCCCTGCTCCGCGGGAAGCCTGCTTCTCCCTCTCCCACTCCCCCTGCTTGTGTGTGTTCCCTCTCTCGCTATGTCTCTCTGTGTCAAATAATCTTTAAAAAAAGAAAAAAAAGATAGATTATAACGTTTCATCTAAACACTCACAAATCCTAACAAAAGTATGTGCAGTTTATGACCAAGTATCTCAGTTTAAGTAAGTCTTTCTTAGATGTAGAAAGTACTTACATTCATCATAAAATCCATAAATTCTATTGATGCTGGCACATTCATGGTTTCCTCTGAGAAGAAAAAAATTCTCGGGATATTTGATTTTGTAAGCCAGTAAGAGGCAGATAGTCTCCAATGACTGCTTCCCCCTGTCCACATAGTCCCCAAGAAACAGGTAGTTGCTTTCTGGCGGGAAACCACCGTACTCGAAAAGTCGAAGCAAATCATAGTATTGCCCATGGATATCACCTAGAAGCAAGAATTTAGTTACACAGTGCCCTCATACTTATTGTTCAATCCACTAACAAAGTTTTGGAGAGACATTCTTTAAACATGCATTGCATAATGGGATTGACCTCTAATAATTAGTGTTAAATTTGATGGCTAACACTAATTTCCAAACTTGTATCATGTTTTAGTTCAACTGAGCTTAATAACAATTTCAAGCTTATGTTTATGTCCAGAATCTCACACAAAACAACTAATTAAGAATTAATTTTGTGGAAAGGATTATTAATGCCTAGGCAGGCTGGCCTTCTTGCCAAGTAACATGGCTTTCCTTTCAGGTCGGCTGACCACTATCAGATCTCCGGCAGCTCAGCCTGCAGGTTATTGTGTCAGCAGAACTGCTGCATTGCTAGTGAGCCCCAGACCTGCATGAACAAAGGTACACACACCACATCCACCAATTCATTCAGCTTTCAATTTCCCCCTGCTAGATAATGCCAAAGAGCATTTAACTTTAAAATCATACATATAAGCTTTATCAATGTAGTCAAATATGCTAGAATATTTAGCATTACTCAGATGAACTTCAGTTTTTATACAGATTATCTGCATCTATCATGTAGAAACAGACTACAAAACGGCATCAAGGAAAGTCTATTGCTAAGCATAACCAGTCTTGCTTTAAGCTTAAGTGTAATTCCTATATATTCATATAGTTCAGACCTTTTCTTAGCTCTCCGGTGTCATTTCTTTCCTTTCTATTGCAATGTTTATTATATTCCTTTAGTGAAATAATTTTTAGAATATCGGAAGCACATTTAAGGAAACTTAAGTCCATTAGAGGTATTAATTCCAAAACTAAAATTATTTAAGTAGTTCCAGGTTATTCATAAATAGCAAATGATTCTGCTGGCTAACAACAAGGGCATCTATATATCCTTGAGTCACTTAATCAATTACATAATCAAAGGCAAAACTGTTCATGTGCCAAAACCTACCACATATTTTGAGTGGTGCTTCAAGTTCTAGTAGGATAGGCTGACTGAGAAAGATCTCTCGGGACTTTAAGCACAGTCCTCGGATTTCATTCTCCTGTAGCTGGACGTTCTTACCAGGCTTGGACCCTCTCACTGTAGGGGAGAAAAACTCCAGTTAGTCAAATGAAGTCAAAATACAATTTAACATACAAATTAAAAATATCTGAGAAGCACAAGTTTTAATAAGGAGGAGGCAAAAACAGTTTAACTGGCTTTTTGGCTGACTTTATTTTCTTAACACTTCTAAAGAACATGGTTTTAATGTCTAATTATAATTGTAAAATCTTAGGGTTTCATCGATTATTTAGTTGCATCTTCTATACTAAGTTAAGACTTGTTACAGTATCCTGAACAAGGGGCCACACTGTGTGTGTGAATACTGTTAGAAGGGTGGCTCAGTTGGTTAAGCAACTGCCTTCGGCTCGGATCATGATCCTGGAGTCCCTCGATCGAATCCCGCGTCGGGCTCTCTGCTCAGCGGGGAGTCTGCTGCTCCCTCTGACCTTCTTCCCTCTCATGCTCTCTCTCTACCATATTCTCTCTCTCAATAAATAAAAATCTTAAAAAAAAAAAAAAAGGTATTCCTTTTGTTACTTGCTGAAATCAGACTGGCTGTGGCACAGTCCAAGGCCTCAGTTTTGCATCCCAGCCACAAAAATCGGCCTTGTTGACCTCCAGCCTGTCCACCAGGCCACCTCTTTTTGCCTCCAGTCCTGTCTTCTCTTCTCCAGCCTTATAAATGAAATTAGTATTTGTACAGCAGGAGATTTGAGATTATCACGTTACTGAGTTGGTTCTAAGGATTGTTTTAAAATGTGCAATTGGAGGGGCACCTGGGTGGCTCAATTGGTTAAGCATCCAACTCTTGATTTCGGCTCAGGCTGTGATCTTGAGGTGGTGAGATCAAGCCCTGTGTCAGGCTCTGGGCTCAGCGAGGGAGTCTGCTTGAGATTCTCTCTTCTCCTCTCCCTCTGCCCCCCCACGCCCCCTTGCATGCACGTGCTCTCTTTAAATCTTTTTTTTATTTTTAAATATTTTATTTATTTATTTGACAGAGACAAAGCAAGAGAAGGAACACAAGCAGGGGGAGTGGGAGAGGGAGAAGCAGGCTTCCTGCTGAGCAGGGAGCCTGATGCGGGGCTCAATCCCAGGACCCTGGCATCACGTCCTGAGCTGAAGGCAGACGCTTAACAACTGAGCCACCCAGGCGCCCCTAAATAAATAAATCTTTTAAAAAATAAATAAAAAATTAAAAAGGTGAGACTGGAAATGCTCAGAACCCTCCCCCCATCAGTGTTTTTCAGAGGATGATTGGTATTTCCTCAAGAGTTCTATGAAAAAATTTAAATGTCGTTTGCATTTTACTGAAACACATTTCAGGCTCATTGTACATACTGTACATATTTTGCTGTGCAATCTCTGGGACTGCATCTGTGAATACAATTATGCCCTTACAGGGCAAAGGATGTCAGTGAGTGCTGTAAGGAAGGTTTCCTAGTAATCTGAACATACAAAACAAGAAAAGGGAGAAAGGTGGCTTGTTGTTAAGCATCTGCCTTCGGCTCAGGTCATGATCCCAGGGTCCTGGGATCTAGCCCCGTGTCGGGCTCCCTGCTCCGTGGAGAGCCTGCTTCTTCCTCTCCCACTCCCCCTGCTTGTGTTCCTTCTCTCACTGTCTCTGTCAGATAAAAAAAATCTTAAAAAAAAAAAAAAAGAAAGAAATACTGGTACAGCACTCCATGTTGCCCACATCTGAGCACCCCTGAGTTCTACTCACTATCAAAGTAAAGCACTCCAGCCCTGTAACAGTTCATTTATCAGCAGGTAGGCAGGAAATGAAATTTTGTTTTGCTTCCAGTTATAGCAGATTAGACAGTCACTAAATACAGATTAAATAGCACTGAATTGCTAATTTTACCTTATCTTTACAGTTATAAAGTGGCCTGCTTGCTGGTAGGGTATGGTTAAATACAGGGACTGATTATTCGCAACTTGCAATCGGCCTTAATACTTGTTTTGTACAAAAGATTTATGAAAGCAGGCACTCTACGAATTAGAACTCAACCAAAATCACAGGACCAGACTAAATACAGAATGTCAGGTTACATCCTTCAACCATTAAACCCAATATAAAGTGATTTAGTTTTAGCAAAACCACAAAACCCATCAGATTAAATTATTGTTGCTAATTTAAATGTTATCAGTTTTGAAGGCTTTATATTCAACTTATAAAATCATTCAGCCTATTAAGTGAATAAAAGCAGTAAGTTTAACTGGCTTGTATCTAGCTTTGTTCCGTAAATATCTAATGTTACAGGGTGATTAAAAATTACAAATAAAAAACCTGATGTCTGCTGAGAATTTTTTTCCATTAACTACGGCTGGGTCCAAGTTTGAGAAATATTGTCCTAGGCAAAGCCATTTTTCAGCCTGAATAGCCACCAAAACCCTGAGCTCTCTGAAGATAAGAGTTTTGAACAGAAACCCAACACTGTGTAGAGGGGTTTTATTTTTTCAATGAAAGACAGTACACAAGAAAAGATGACAAGAGGGAAGGGCCAAACTCTTGAAGCACACAATGAAGAGAAAGTGTTGAAAGAGCAGTGGAACTGGGGGCCAGCCCCAAGTTTCTGTACTGGTTCTATAGCCTTGAGCAAATCACTACTTTGGACCCCCAAATATGTAACTGAAGTAAACCACCGCCAGTCTCCTTCTGATCAAAACATTATGAAATGAGAAGCAATGAAGAGGAAAGCACAGTGATGATCATTTTCGAGGGGAGATATGAAAGAGACACATCTATAATACTACAGCGACTGAGCAATAAAAAATGGTTTTTCTAGAACCACAGTAATTTTCTCTCCTGACACACACAGTAGAGAACTCAAGAAACACTCCTGATGGAAAGACGGTGGGATTCCTGCTTCACTGGCCAGAAAACCCCAATCATTAGCAATTATACCACAAGTCAGCCAGAAGCTTGGGCATACTGCCCAGCAGGAAACTTTTATTTTTGGATAGGAGGGGACTCCTAGAAGCTTCTGGTTTTCAACCTCAATCTTTTTCAGCAGAGCCCCACTTTTGTGAATGAACAGTCCACCTTAAGTCTTTCAAGAGAGGGTGCAATAATTAATCTACACCTATATGGAATGAAGGCTGTACTTTTAATATGAATGCTATCATTAAATTGATGCCACCGGATTAAGTCAATGTTGCTAATATAAGTATTTACTGGTTTTGGAGGCTTCCCACTACCACCTTTAGACATAATCTATGATAGTTTTCTTATTCTGTTTTCCTGTTTGTCCTCTGAATGAAGTGTACAGGTAAGTAAAAAGCAATATTGCTTGCTAACAATTAAAAAATTGTTCTTAATGTGCAATAAGGATTAAATGCAGTTTTTCCAGAACAAATCAACATTTTATATCTGAAGAACAGTGCTCATTAAAAACAACATGGTCCCAAAGCTTCTTAAATTCCCTACAATTAGCTAAAGCAATAAAATTATGAAAACAGAAACTCTGCCAAAACCCTCATCTACCAATTGGCAAATACCTGCTCATCCTTCAAGACTTGCCCCGGAGAACCTCTCCTATCCACCTCCTCTCCTAAGCCTAGTTTACGCTTTCTGAAATGCTCTCACAACGCTTGGATACCACTCAGCACACATCATACTTTGTACCGTAAACGCCATTTTGCTTCCACCTACTCATCTGGACCCTCTGGTAGGCTGTAAACCCCAAGACCACACGACCGACTCTGCAGTGCACATGCCCACGGCCAGATGTGGCAGGCGCTCAAAATTTGTTGTGTGAACGAAATCTGGATAAATCTCTAAGTACTGAGGACATGTGATATCAGAATTAAACATGTGTTCCAGACCACATACTTTTGATTAGCAAAAAACCTGTGTCTGTGCTTTAAAATTAAAAAAAGCAAGAGTGTCATTTCCTATCAGCCTTTAACAGAATATTTTTCTAGTTGCAAAAATTTAGGATTACTCTTAAATTTCATGTTGAAGATGATCTGTCTAACAATTAGAAGATAAAGATTTCAAAATGGGTTTTAGCAGTTCAAATAAACACTAGTTATTTCTTAAAAATGGCCACATCGGCCAATAGTTCATAAATCTACTTCACTATTTTCAATGTCCATCAGATAGAATTACTTACTAGTTGCAGCTAACATTTACCAAGCACTCATCATGTGCTGGGCACTGCACTAGAGGGCTTTACATTGCCACTTAATCCTCACAACAATCCTACGAAGTTAGGCTGTCACTTCTGTTAGTTTGGGAGAGGTTCGGTGACTTGGTCCAAGGTCACAGAGCTTATAGGAACACCAGGCCCCTATGAACTCTAGGTCTAGTGGTGCTGCCACCATACTACTACCCTACCAACGAAGGATTTGTTCTTTAACTTCCAAACCAAGGAGTTTTTATAGGACAAACCACCAAAACCCTAATATATGGCCACTGCTTCCTAAAAAAATTCTGAGATGGGATATAAAATCATAAAGCATCCTTACAAATGAGAAGCATTAAATCAGAAATAAATTAGGCAATCTCTTTAAGACTATCAATACTTATTAACCATGCTTCAAACATTCAACAGAATAGTTGCAGAATATCTACCAGGTGCCAGACCCTCTGATGGATGCTGGGGATACCCTGGTAAACAGGATGGACAAGAACCTTGTCCTTTCTCTTGTGGAGGACACAGAAAATAAGAATAGGTAACTGCAGCTTGTTATAAATGCTATGACTAGAACTATATATATAACTTTATATATAACTATATAAAGATCATAAAACTACAAGTTCACCTTAAGGATAGCATCTTCAATACCATTAAAAAGACAACGGCTTTTTAAATAAAAACATTTCTATTTTAAACAGAAACATCTCTAATTACAAACAGTGCAGCTCTACTTAATAAATATCAGTCAATACTTACCTTGAGGTTTAAAGCCTCACTGTGCTCTGAGCACAATGGGAGAAACATGCACAAAAAGGAGACCCTTGGTAGGAAATTCAAGAGTTGTCACATGTTACCTTCCTAAGTAAGTAGCTGTGGTAGTTCAAATAATAAATA